ATCCCCCAAATGGGATACCTATAGTGATTTTCTGAATTCCTATTTCTTTTATTTTTTCTTTTTTTTTTGTCATTTATTTCGCTTTTATTCCCCCACAAGGTTTCCGTCCACAATTTGAGAATATCTCTTTTGACCGGCTGCAAACTTCCAATCCAAATTTTACGAGAACCTAGATGAAGGTTCATACTGAGCTATGCAGGTGTCTGCATGTTAATTTTAAAGGCTAAAATATGATGCTAGTTTCTGTGCAATACCTTAAGACTTTCTTAACTAGCTTCAAACTTTCCAAGATGTGTATTGCACCTAGAAAATGGACAGCATTGTTTCTGGGCTGTCTAGGTGACAACTCGCAATTTTTTAACTGTATGGTATTTTTTCTCAGGTAATAACATAAGAATTCCTCTTTGAAAGTGCGTAATACTTGAAACAACGATGCGTCTAAGACACACTGACAATATATAACAATGACTGGAGAATATCTCTCTTATGTAACTTCAAATCCTCCATGATGGTGAGTCTTACTGATCGAAAGGTTCGGACTGGTTTTTTGTAAAAATTGTATATTCCAATTTCCCAATTTTATTTAATTATTTGATATTTTTGTATCGAAGCTATTATTGATGAATGCTTCTTCATATTGACTTTAAACTTTTGACACCTGTGTTTACTTCTTAGAGAAAGATTTATAGCCAATAATGTTCCTATTTTTATCTATAAAAACTAACAAATTGATGTATGAAACTGATAAGGCAGAGATTGTTTTGTACCATCTTAAGTCCACACTCAAGATCACATCTAATAACTGATTTATTATCTGAGGGTAGTACCCATCACCATGGGCTCCGTGCCCTGTCTTCACATAACGCTTCCAGTCTCCAAACACAAAAGTTTTAGGTAACAAATTTCGTAGAAAATACACTAATTCATCCCTTGTGAACGTATTTCTAGCCTTCACATTTTTTTTAGCTTCATAAACATTCTGTTATACCACTGATTACTGTTCTGATATCAAGGTGCTCTATTCCGGTCACACGCAGCCTCAATGACCCTCGCGTAGCGATAGGGTTTAAGCCAAATTTACAAACTGGGTGTACAGAATTCACAAAATGCTGAGAAAAAAAACATCTAGTTGCCTGGTATTTTCCTGGTCAAACTCCAATCTCTTCTCCTTTCACAACTATTTATCTTTATTAATTATACAAGGATGCTTTATATAATTAGAAATAGAATGCTACCCATTCATCAGTTTAATTCAGTAGTATAAATATAAGGCGCGAATATACCCGATGTTTACTTTAGTTTGGGTAGTTGTACCGGCTACCAGGAGGTACTGTAAGTGTATGTTAGGTCCAGAGAACTACGCTATTCTCTGCTCGACCATGAATACAGTTCACCAGGTAAGTTCTCAACAGTATATAGCATAGTGGACTTCCTTTGGACTTTCCTTCCGTTTGCTGTTTTGGTTATACAACTTGTGTTATCGCTGCCGTGTGTGTGTGTGTGTGTGTGTGTGTGTGTGTGTGTGTGTGTGTGTGTGTGTGTGTGTGTGTGTGTGTGTGTGTGTCATGTTGATGCAGGTCTTCTTACCACTGGGTGCCTGGCCCCTCAAGGAAGGTTCCTTGATGTTGGTGAGGGGCTCTTGATTTAGGGAATTGGATCTGTGCTCCAGTTCCCCGAATTAAGCCTGAATGCCTTCCACATCCCCCCCCAGGCGCTGTATAATCCTCCGGGTTTAGCGCTTCCCCCTTGATTATAATAATAATGGGTGCCTGGCCACATATTATAAATAATGAATTCCTGGTGGTGGTGGTAGGATGAGTGATGTGGTGGTGGTGGTGGTGGTAGTAGTAGTAGTAGTAGTAGTAGTACAGGTGTAGACGGAGGTGAGGGGAGTGGTGGAGGTTGAGGTAGTGGTGGTAGTGGTAGTCGCATAGATGTTAGTGACGATAGTAATGGCAGTGAAGATTGTCGTTGTAGGGGAGGTGGTGGTGACTGTGGCTGTAGTGATTTTGGTGGTGAGGCAAGGGGCGAAAAGTGACAGTGAAGTAGTGATGATGGTAATAGTGGTAAGGATACTAGTGACGGTAGCAAGGGTAGTATTGGTGGTAGTGGTGATGATGATCATGGTATCAGGGTAGTGGTGGTGGTGGGGATGATCATGGTGGTTGTGGTCGTAGGGGTGGTGTTGATTGAGGGCATGGTATTGGCAGTGGCGAAGGTAGTGGGGGTGATGACTGGAGAGGGAATGGTTGTGGTAGTGGTAATAGTGGTGATAGTGGTGGTGTTGGTAGTGGCAGTGGTAATGGTGATGGTGGTGATGGTAGTGGTGGTTGTTGGGGAAGAACAGTCCCCTCAGTCTTCAGATTGGTTCTTGAGTGCGCGTTAAAATCTCCATTTATTACGGGAGGGTGGTCAACACATAAATTGTGCTCGCTCCCTCTGGTCACCCTGTGTGTGTGTGTGTGTGTGTGTGTGTGTGTGTGTGTGTGTGTGTGTGTGTGTGTGTGTGTGTGTGTGTGTGTGTGTGTGTGTGTGTTCAATTGTAATATTGAATCCTATTTAGTTTTTCTAAAATACAGTCATTATATTTTACCCTTTCTTTAATACAGTAATCAAGTCGTTCCTTCACATGTTTCCTTGACAATTCCTAATAAAACACGATCACTCTCCAGGTGGATTCAAATCATTTACGCAAGAATAAAGAAAACGCTGAGGCATGAAGAGCTTCTGTTACATTTACGTGTTCTACTGACCATTATTCATTTACGATAACTTGCTCCTATTCACTGTCATTTATCAATAATTCTCATAATGTATAATGTACTCGCAATTCCTGATGTGTGCCTTATCAAACTCTTCTCTCTCTCAAGTATTATTCAACACTGGTTCTATTTATTCACCATTATGAGTTCCTCATTTATGCTTTCGAGTTTAATCCCCGAAATATTTATTTATTTCAGTTTCCTCGTATAGTTTCTTTTCACAACATTTTTACTGCCACTTAGGTCTTCCCTACTTGTATTTTCTCCACACTCAATATTTTCCATCGAATACAGCTAAATTTAAAATATGTTTAATAGTTTAGTTTGTTACAATATATCAGGTTTCTTATTTATAATGCATTTATTGAAAATTTTCTGTCTACATTAGTATTCAGAATATTAACAATGGTGTTTATCTCACTAATTATTTGTCAATTTGTTTTGCTTTGGTTGTTCTCTATCGTGTTTTTTTTTTTTTTTTTTTTTTTTTTTTTTTTTTTTTGAGAAGTCATTTGATCGTTCAGCTTGGTCTTGTTACTCAGCAAACTCTTTCAGTATATCCTCGCTTAATGTCTTAGCAGTGTTTATGAAGTGTTTTATTTTCACTCTGTACTCCCTGGAAGGCTCTTGTCTAATCTTTGTATCCTTATAGGCGCCCAATTTTTTTATATTTCAAGCTCTACTTAACAAATCTTCTTAATGCGTAATCAGTGTGAATGTTATTCTTAGAGTCCTGTTCGTATCTTTCTGGTATTTTCCAACTTTTTTTATATCCCACTATAGGTTCTTTAATGCTAAAATCCATTCATTATTTACTCATCCCATTCACGTGTCTTTCTTTTTCCAAGTTTCCTTCTGATCTTGATTTTATTTCTCTATCAACAGTCTCTGTCAGCAATGTTGAACTCTTTGCAATCTATTTTTTTTTATGTCATGAATGATTATTCTAGTATTAATTTCCTCAGTCATTACCACTTACTTCTCTTCTTTCTTTTCATTATTGATTTTGATCTGTCTTCTATTATAGCTTTATAGTCTATCGATTTCATCTCCACAAATTATTATTATAATCAAAAAGAAGCGCTAAGCCACAAGGGCTATACAGCGCTGCTCATCTCCACAAAACTTTTGTTAATATGTGAGATATTCTGACCTAGCTGCAACTGTTATCCTTGTTATACCAGCATAATTATGTCCTGTTTTAGTTTTGTACTCTGGCTGTTTTGGGTAGCTTGCCATTTCAGTGTTTTCTACCTTTGTTGTATTGAAACTTTTATTATTTCTTTATCAGATTTCAAAGTTACATTTTACTTATTTAGTTTTTCTATCAATCCTTTCTGCCTTACCTGATTCTGTTTTGGTTTTGTCATCTTGTCCATCCATCAGGTAGATTTCATTTTTGCTGATGTAAAATCATGGGTACTACATATTTGATCTAGTTCATTCTGCAATTTATAAACAAGGAGATAAAGTTTTCAATCATTTATCTTAAGATACATTAAACTTTTCCTTAAGCAACGAACTTCTACATAATATTTTCTTTCGCCTATTTTAGGACTTCACTCACACAACCTATACTACCTTCAAACCGCGGTGCGGGTGAGGTTAGAACTCATGGCAAGTGAGTCGTAAAATTCCAGTCCAGTGCGTAAGCCACTGGGCCAGCTGGTTACAGTAAGATTCATCAATCTGGGTATATACACCACAAGAAGGGCCACCAGTGTGACCATAATTACAAGTTTTTACAGATGAATCTCCCGCCAGCGAGGCCGCGACGAACTCTAGCTCAGGTCCCCTCAAAGTTGTCATCATGACTTATCTACTCCCTTCACTTTAAACAGGTGTGTGTGTATATGTGCGTGTCTCAAATTACTCTTTACCTATTATGCTTCCCATCCCCCTCACCCCTCACCATTCCCTCATCCCTTCACCATCCCTTGCCCCCTCTTCATCCCTGATCACCCTCACCATCCAACCCCCTTCACCATCCAACCCCCCCCCCCTCCCATCCTTCACCCCCCCCCAAGCCCGCTGTCAGCCGCTCTCACGAACAAACAAAATATTTATTGTGGGTTCTGCCCACCTTGACATTTCCAATTTCCAGCGGCGCATTATCCAATTCCCAGTACAAAGACACCAAATGCTTAAGTCACATTTGTCTGTCGTACACAAGTGTCGGGTCCAAAGGTTTAACACCAACCACATTCTACAGGAAATTATTTAAAAGAAATTAAAAGTTTACAATTTTGTGGAGGATGTGGGCGTTGTTGTGGAGGATGTGGGCGTTGTTGTGGAGGATGTGGGCGTTGTTGTGGAGGATGTAAGCGTTGTTGTGGAGGATGTGGGCGTTGTTGTGGAGGATGTAAGCGTTGTTGTGGAGGATGTGGGCGCTCCTGTGGAGGATGTGGGCGTTGTTGTGGAGAATGTGGGCGTTGTTGTGGAGGATGTGGGCGTTGTTGTGGAGGATGTGGGCGTTGTTGTGGGGGATGTGGGCGTTGTTGTGGACGATGTGAGCGTTGTTGTGGAGGATGTGGGCGTTGTTGTGGAGGATGTGGGCGTTGTTGTGGACGATGTGGGCGTTGTTGTGGACGATGTGGCGTTGTTGTGGACGATGTGGGCGTTGTTGTGGACGATGTGGGCGTTGTTGTGGAGGATGTGGGCGTTGTTGTGGACGATGTGGGCGTTGTTGTGGAGGATGTGGGCGTTGTTGTGGAGGATGTGGGCGTTGTTGTGGAGGATGTGGGCGTTGTTGTGGAGGATGTGGGCGTTGTTGTGGACGATGTGGGCGTTTGTTGTGGACGATGTGGGCGTTGTTGTGGACGATGTGGGTTGTTGTGGAGGATTGTGGGCGTTGTTGTGGAGGATGTGGGCGTTGTTGTGGAGGATGTGGCGTTGTTGTGGACGACGTGGGCGTTGTTGTGGAGGATGTGGCGTTGTTGTGGAGGATGTGTGCGTTGTTGTGGACGACGTGGGCGTTGTTGTGAAGGATGTGGGCGTTGTTGTGGAGGATGTGGGCGTTGTTGTGGAGGATGTGGGCGTTGTTGTGGACGATGTGGGCGTTGTTGTGGACGATGTGGACGCTCCTGTGGAGGATGTGGGCGTTGTTGTGGAGGATGTGGGCGTTGTTGTGGAGGATGTGGGCGTTGCTGTGGAGGATGTGCGCGCTCCTGTGGAGGATGTGGGCGTTGTTGTGGAGGATGTGGGCGTTGTTGTAGACGATGTGGGCGTTGTTGTGGAGGATGTGGGCGTTCCTCTGGAGGACGTGGGCATTGTTGCGGAGGATGTGGGCGTTGTTGTGGAGGGTGTGGGCGTTGTTGTGGAGGATGTGGGCGTTGTTGTGGAGGATGTGGGCGTTGTTGTGGAGGACGTGGACGTTGTTATGGAGGATGTGGGCGTTGTTGTGGAGGATGTGGGCGCTCCTGTGGAGGATGTGGGCGTTGTTGTGGAGGATGTGGGCGTTGTTGTGGACGATGTGGGCGCTCCTGTGGAGGATGTGGGCGTTGTTGTGGAGGATGTGGGCGCTCCTGTGGAGGATGTGGGCGTTGTTGTGGAGGACGTGGGCGTTGTTATGGAGGATGTGGGCGTTGTTGTGGAGGATGTGGGCGCTCCTGTGGAGAATGTGGGCGTTGTTGTGGAGGACGTGGGCGTTGTTGTGGAGGATGTGGGCGTTGTTGCGGAGGATGTGGGCGCTCCTGTGGTGGATGTGGGTGTTGTTGTGGAGAAGGTGGGCGTTCCTGTGGAGGATGTGGGCGTTATTGTAGAGGATGTGGGCGTTGTTGTGGAGGACGTGGGCGTTGTTGTGGAGGATGTGGGCGTTCCTGTGGAGGATGTGGGCGTTCCTGTGGAGGATGTGGACGTTCCTGTGGAAGATGTGGGCGTTGTTGTGGATGGTGTGGGCGTTGTTGTGAAGGATGTGGGCGTTGTTGTGGAGGGTGTGGGCGTTGTTGTGGAGGATGTGGGCGTTCTTGGGGAGGATGTGGGCGCTCCTGTGGAGGATGTGGGCGTTCCTGTGGAGGGTGTGGGCGTTCCTGTGGAGGATGTGGGTATTCCTGTGAAGAATGTGGGAGTTGTTGTGGAGGATGTGGGCGTTGTTGTGGAGGATGTGGGCGTTCCTGTGGGGATGTGGGCGTTGTTGTGGAGGGTGGTGGGCGTTTTTGTGGGGGTGTGGGTGTTGTTGTGGTGGGTGTGGGCGTTGGTGTGGAGGATGTGGGCGTTGTTGTGGAGGATGCGGGCGTTCCTGTGGAGGATGTGGGCGTTGTTGTGGAGGATATGGGCGTTGTTGTGGAGGATGTGGGCGTTGTTGTGGAGGATGTGAGCGTTCCTGTGAAGGATGTGGGTATTCCTGTGGAGGATGTGGGTGTTCCTGTGGAGGATGTGGGCGCTGTTGTGGAGAATGTGGGCGTTGTTGTGGATGGTGTGGGGCGTTGTTGTGAAGGATGTGGGCGCTGTTGATGGAGGGTGTGGGCGTTGTGGATGGTGTGGGCGTTGATGTGGGCGTTGTTGTGGAGGGTGTGGGCGTTGTTATGAAGGATGTGGGCGTTGTGGAGGATGTGGGCGTTGTTGTGAGGATGTGGGCGTTGTTGTGGAGGGTGTAGGCGTTCCTGTGGAGGGTGTGGGCGTTTCTGTGGAGGATGTGGGCGTTCCTGGGGAGGGTGTGTGGGCGTTGTTGTGGAGGATGTGGGCGTTGTTGTGGAGGATGTGGGTGTTCCTCTGGAGGATGTGAGCATTGTTGCGGAGGATGTGGGCGTTGTTGTGGAGGGTGTGGGCGTTGTTGTGGAGGATGTGGGCGTTGTTGTGGAGGATGTGGGCGTTGTTGTGGAGGGTGTGGGCGTTCCTGTGAAGGATGTGGGCATTGTTGCGGAGAGTGTGGGCGTTGTGGAAGATGTGAGAGTTGTTCTGGAGGGTGTGGGCGTTCCTGTGTAGGATGTGGGCGTTAATGTGGAAGATGTAGGCGTTCCTGTGGAGAATGTGGGCGTTCCTGTGGAGGATGTGGGTGTTCCTGTGAAAGTTGTGGGCGTTCATGTGGAGGATGTAGGTGTTCCTGTAGAGGATGTAGGCGTTACTGTGAAGGATGGGGGCATTATTGTGGAGGATGTAGGCGTTCCTGTGGAGAATGCGGGCGTTCCTATGGAGGATGGGGGCATTATTGTGGAGGATGTGGACGTTAATGTGGAGGATGTAGGCGTTCCTGTGGAAGATGTAGGCGTTCCTGTGGAGAATGTGGGCGTTCCTGTGGAAGATGTAGGCGTTCCTGTGGAGAATGTGGGCGTTCCTGTGGAGGATGTGGGCGTTCCTGTGGAGGATGTGGGTGTTCCTGTGAAAGATGTGGGCGTTCATGTGGAGGATGTTGGTGTTCCTGTAGAAGATGTAGGCGTTACTGTGGAGGATGAGGGCATTATTGTGGAGGATGTGAGCGATAATGTGGAGGATGTAGGCGTTCCTGTGGAGAATGTGGGCGTTCCTATGGAGGATGGGGGCATTATTGTGGAGGATGTGGACGTTAATGTGGAGGATGTAGGCGTTCCTGTGGAGAATGCGGGCGTTCCTATGGAGGATGGGGGCATTATTGTGGAGGATGTGGGCGTTAATGTGGAATATGTAGGCGTTCCTGTGGAGGATGTGGACGTTCCTATGGAGGATGTGGGTGTTCCTGTGAAAGATGTGGGCGTTCCTGTGGAGGATGTAGGCGTTCCTGTTGAGAATGTGGGCGTTCCTGTGGAAGATGTAGGCGTTCCTATGGAGGATGTGGGTGTTCCTGTGAAAGATGTGGGCGTTCCTGTGGAGGATGTAGGCGTTCCTGTGGAGGATGTGGGCGTTCCTGTGGAGGATGTGGGCGTTCCTGTGGAGGATATGGGCGTTACTTTGGAGGATGTGGGTGTTCCTGTGAAAGATGTGGGCATTTCTGTGGAGGATGTGGGCGTTCCTGTGGAGGATGTGGACGTTCCTGTGGAGGATTGGGGAATTATTGTGGAGAATGTGGGCGTTAATGTGGAGGATGTAGGCGTTCCTGTAGAGAATGTGGGCGTTCCTGTGGAAGATGTGGGCGCTCCTGTGGAGGATGTGGGCGTTCCTGTGGAGGATTGGGGAATTATTGTGTAGGATGTGTGCGTTAATGTGGAGGATGTAGGCGTTCCTGTGGAGAAAGTGGGCGTTCCTGTGAAGGATGTGGGCGTTCCTGTGGAGGATGTGGATGTTCCTGTGAAAGATGTGGGGGCTCCTGTGGAGTATGAGGGCGTTCCTGTCTAGGGTGTGGGCGTTCCTGTGGAGGATGTGGGCGTTCCTGTGAGAGATGTGGGCATTCCTGTGGAGGATGTGGGCGTTCCTGTGGAGGATGTGAGCGTTCGTGTGGAGTATGAGGGCGTTCCTATGAAAGATGTGGGCATTCCTGTGGAGGATGTGGGCGCTCCTATGAAAGATGTGGGCATTCCTGTGGAGGATGTGGGCGTTCCTATGAAAGATGTGGGCATTCCTGTGGAGGATGTGGGCGTTCCTATGAACGATGTGGGCATTCTTTTGGAGGATGTGGGCGTTCCTGTTTAGAATGTGGGTGTTCCTGTGGAGGATGTGGGCGTTAATGTGAAGGATGTCGGCGTTCCTGTGGAGAAAGTGGGCGTTCTTGTGGAGGATGTCGGGGTTCCTGTGAAGGATGTGGGCGTTCGTGTGGAGTATGAGGACGTTCCTGTGGAAGATGTGGGCGTTCCTATGGAGGATGTGGGTGTTCTTGTTGGAGTTGTGGGTGTTCCTGTGAAGGCCGTTCCTGTGACGGATGTGGTCATTCCTGTGTAGGATGCAGGCGTTACTGTGAATAATGTAGACGTTCCTGTGAAGGATGTGGGCTTTCCTGTGAAAGATGAGGACCTTCCTGTGGAGGGTGTGAGCTTTACTGTTAAGGGTTCTGGAGGGTGTGGGCGTTCCTGTAGAGAATGTTGGCGTTGCGTCCCTTGCATGGGACTCAAGGTGTATTTGTTATTATATGCAAATATTTTTATTTTTATTTTCACTTATTATATTGTCTATATCTTCATTAATAACTAAAATGAAGTTATCTTGCTTTATAATATTATCTGACCTTATATTATTTAGCTGTGTATATAGGTAGGATGTGTTTTACTGAATTTAGTCGGGAACTGCTGTGCTAACTACTGTAAGATAGTCAATCGGTCTCTCGGGTAGGTGTCCCATCGACCGAGGTGACAGGCTTAGAGGCGTTGCCTGAGTACCAGCCTACCTCTAGCCTTGTAAACATCTTCTTGAAGTTTGATTAGACTTGAGTTCTGGGTAGCAGACGGTTCCGTTGGTGAGTATGTATTTCTTGTCATGAACCCGAGTAAATTTTTCATTGTGAGAGACTGCATCATACTGTGTTACTGCGCTACTTACGGCTTTTGTTTTAATCCAATTATCGAGTTTATAGTTACGTTCAGTACTAACAGGGTGGCATCATGTTGGTCAGTGAAGGACAGAGTTAGTTCTGGACTTAGAGATTTTGATATTAATTAAGGTTGCGAGTTTTTTGACGTTATAAAGTCAATCAGTGGATTTAACTGTGACCTCAATGTATTAACGTAGTCTTGACTTGAATTGAGCCAAACTTATATTCGGTAAGAGGGGAGTATTAGGTCTCCTCTCTCCTATAGAGATTCTGTTGAAGACCTCAGCTGTGTTTTGTTCCTGCTTCGTTAAGATCCCTTAAGTTTTGATAAATGTGTGTATCTCTAGGTTAGCTTCTTGGTGGATTATCGTACTCGAAACCAGTGATTATTCGAGGACGGATGTACAATTTGGCTTTGTATGTATATAGAGTCGGCCTATAGTGAGACATTTCCGTCAATGATTGAAACCCCTGGGTATATGTGTATATATGTTTAATTACGACTCATAACACTGGAAATGTCACTTTAACTAAATGTTCATAAATTGTATTATAAACTTATGGCCTCTACTATTATTGTTCTCATAAGTACCATTCTGTATTCAACAAGAGAGAGTATATTTGTTACTTTTAAGACACGTTAAAATTAACGATATTAAATTATTTTGTCGGATTGTTGTCTCCTGGTAATAATTTACAAAAAGTCTATTAAAATGGTCTTTTATATTAAAGACAGCCAGTCCTGACCGCGATCCAACACCTTGTTACGAAAGAGAAAACTTTCACAGGCTACATACGGAAGCAGATTTATCCCTAAACTCCCTTAGCGCTTTATTTGATTACAATTATCCCAAACTCCCCTGAGTTCTCCACTCGCTTCTGTTGTGTAACTCAGCGAGATACATAACTTCTCTTTTTGTAAAAGTGCGTGTTCCTGTGGAGGTTTGTGAAGGGTGTGGGCGTTCCTTTACAGGGTTGTGGAATGAGTCGGCGTTCCTCTATAGGGTTGTGGAGGTGGCCGGACAGGTGACCGACGGACACGTGGCAGTCAGACATTTGACCGAAGGACAGTAGACCGAACGAATAATTAGGTTAAGTTAGGTAAAGTGATAGATGCCAGTTTGGCCATATGTCCGTCGGCGAAGTGTTCATCGGCCAAATGTCCGGGGTTGTGGTGGGTGTTGACGTTCCACTACAGGGTTGTGGAGGGTACTGGCGTTCCTCTACAGGGTTGTGGAGGGAATGGGCATTTCTTTGGAGGATCAGGAAGAGTGGGGAAGTTCCTTCAACTAGAGGGTTTGGGAGAGTGTAGGATTTCCTTTTTAGGGTTAGGGAGGGTGTGGCGTTCCTCTTAAGGGTTCGGGAGGGGTGTTGCCCTTCCTCTGGAAGGAGAGTGTAGAGACCTTTCTCTATAGGTTGTGGAGGGTGTGGACGTTCGTCTTGATGGTTGGAGAGGGTGTGGACGTTCGTCTTGAGGGTTGGGGAGGGTGTGGACGTTCGTCTGGAGGGTTGGGAAAGTGTGGACGTTCGTCTTGGGGGTTAGGGAGAGTTAGGGCGCTCTTCTTGAGGGTAGGGAACGGTGTGGACGTTGGTCTTGAGGGTTGGGAACGGTGTGGATGTTGATCTTGGGGGTTTGGAACGGTGTGGACGTTGGTCTTGAGGGTTGGGAACGGTGTGGACGTTGGTCTTGAGGGTTAGGAACGGTGTGGACGTTGGTCTTGAGGGTTGGGGAGTGTGTGGGAGTTACTTTTGAGGCTTTAAGAGTGTGGGAGCGTTCCTCTTCACTGATGGGGATGATGGGTACGTTCCTTTTGAACGTGGGGACTGGGGAGTTCCTCTTAATAGAGAAGGTTGTATATCAGTGGTGTAACAAGACTGACAAGATGATGAATAAGTCACATGTGTAACATCTGGGAATCTTTATTATGTAGATGTTTCTCCAACCAGTGACTTTATCAATACAGTACAGCGACATAGGCAAAATACTGTAGTAAGGGAAGGTAATTTGTCCTTCAGCTTCTCAGAATTATACACAGAAGACTTGGACGTGCCTAATATGAGCCAATAGGCCTGCTACAGTGCTCCTTATGCTCCTTAGGTGCTCAAGATCTGCTCAGACAGAGAAAACCTAACTATTTTAGTGTCAATAACAAAACTGCCGAAGCATAATTATTGAGCTCAGCCTTCAGCTCCCTAATATATAAACTCTTAAATCTTAAATCTCAGTTATCCCGCGCTCTTCTGATAATATCTTTTGTGCTTGGTAAATGATCTTTAGTTTTGGAATGTAGTCTTACAGCTGAAAAGGTGAATTTATCTAGCTTAGCAAAGGTCCTGTATGATTCACCTCTGTGCTCATACATTCTAATTTAGAAACTTCTTATTGAGCTTCTAAGAAATGAGCTTCAGTAAACGAAATGAATGTATTCATCCTATCAGATCTAACCATAAGCATTTTTCCAGGATCTCGCAGACGTGATG